TCTTTTTTGTTTTCATAAATCTTGTGTGAATTGTCGCTGCTCGGTCTGCAGTGCAGTCATGAGTTTGAGCGGTCTTTTTCCTGTTGTTTCCGCCATGCATCTCCGCTGTACATTTTTGTGCGTCTCTCCGCATACTCTGTTCCCTCTTTTCTACTTCTTTGCTTTGTGTTTCTGCAGGCACACACAACCACACACACACAAGATGCACATTGCAGTGGATTTGGATGCTTCTTTTGTAGTGCATGCTGGCAGTTGCGTGTGGCGGCTGTTTTCTTCTTCCGTGGCCATGAGGAGAAGGGAGGAGAGGGAGTGCGCAGCCCGAGTCTCCTTTCCTGCGGGTTTGATGCACTGCGTGTGACTGCGTTGAGTTGGGCTCCGTGTTCCATGGAGGGCGGAATGGCAGGAAATTTTGTTGCCACGTCATGGATGGATGAGGTTTTGCTTCCGCTTCTGCCTCGTGTGGTGGGTGCTTGCTCCGTGTGCGTTGTGTGGTGGCCGCGGGGCTTTGGCCATTTCTCTGAGACAGCAGGAATGATCTGGGGGAGATGGTGGTGGATGCCGTCTCGTGGTGTGTGAGCTGTGCGGCTGGGCCTGCTGCCCTTTCCTCATTTTGTCTGCTCTCTCGCGCTGCATCCGCTGTGCCCCGTCCCTCTCCCTCTTGTTGCATTCTTTTTCCTTCTGGCTCACGGATCAGCTGGCTGACTCCAGCGACTCCAATACCGGTGATGATGACGATGGTGACGGTGCGGCACCGTGTTGGTCCTTGCGCTCTCGTGCTGCTGCTGCACTTCCGTGTGCGTGACGGCTGCTGGGATTCCTGGAGATGTATCTGGTGCTGCGGATGCGGTGGTTGTGCCGGTGGATGTGTCGTGTGCTCCGAGTGACGGCAGCCTGAGCTGTCGCGTGTGTGTGTGGCGTGGACGAAGTGTTCTGCTGCCGGTGCTGAGGCTCAGTGTGAGAATTATACTTTCAGTGGCTTTGATGTGCGCATGCATGGCACGAATGGTGAGCTGGGTGCTGTGTGTCATGTGGCCAATGCGGTGCACACATGTAGCAACTGTGCTGCCAGCTGTGCAACGGAAGAGGAAGGGGCCGCCGTTGCCTTCACGATGAATGTGACGACGCATAAATACGCCGGCCCTATGAATTGTGGTGGCGTCAATTTTCCCCGATGGAACCATCCATCCGCCTGCACGGAGCGGCGATGCTGACCGGACGGGCATCTGTCAGTTGCCGCCACCCCGTGAAGGGAAGGATGACACAAAATCTGGTGGGACAACTGCGCCGCAAGTGAATGCTGAGCCGTCACGTCAACACGAGGATTGGCGACGGTCTGCGGCGGCTGACGGACCCAACACCGTCGATCCGAGTCCCGCATCCAACACGGCGAAAAACACGTCTAGGAAAAAGCCTTGCATTTTAACCGATCAGAAAGAAAACGTGGCTTCAACACCACCCAATAGGAAGCCTAGCATTGCCATGAGTCGGAACATAGAAATGGATCTGAATGCATTCGTGACGAAGACTGCGCTCGCCACCGCGTTGAGGAAGGCAGTGGGCTCGAGGGATGCCCGTAAGAGTGAGGCCGTTGACGGCAGCGGCGAGCACGTTCCTGGGAAAATTGCGGGAGGAATGAATGGTCAGAACGTCCCCGGAACACCAAAACGGCATCAAGAAATGTGTCCTTGCGCGATCTGGAGCGGCGTGAGTCCAGACGGCCGCCTCGTCCTGTTTGACGACGTGGAGTTGATACCACTCGATTCAACTGGCGGCCGCACTGCGCGTGTGTGCGTGTCTCTGGCGTTGCTGCTGCTTCTTCTGGGGTTGTGTGGAGTTGTGGTAGTCCTTCGAGCGAAAGAGGGTGGAATTGTGACTCCCCACGGGGGATATTTGCCGCATACTTTGCGGTTTTTATGTTACTGTTTTTTCTCCTCTTTTTTAATGATTTACGGATCGCTTTTTAAACCTTTTTTTCTTCTTTGTAATGCTCTTTTTGATGCTTTTCCACTGGAGTAATAAGTGCCCTTTTTTCTTCTCATTATTTAATGTTCGGTTGATGTGCACTGGAATGGGCGACGTGTTTTCTCTCTTGTGTGTTTCTTTTTTGCTGTTGCCCACACGCGGTGCCGGCTCCGCTGCTGTGCTTCCCACAGACTGCGGGAACGGGGATTGGAAGAAGAGGCCGGATGCCGCGTGAAATGTGAGGGATGTTGTGTGGGCTGGTGGAGTAATAAGATTTTTT